GGCCGGGATTGAGCTACCACTACGCTCACTCCCACCTGGCCGAGGAAGAAGGCGACGACAAGGACGATTCGCAGCCCCCCACTCCCGTCTCGCAGCGATCGGAGGAGCAGAAATGTAAGCAAAACACCCCCCCTCTGCCAAAAACCCCGGCGTGGAAAAGGCGGAAAAGCCGGGAAACCACCCGTGCCAGGGCTGGGAGCGAGCGGCATCCCTTCGCCGATGCTTTTGAGCACCGTGGTGTCGCCCCGGGGCTCGGAGGTTGCCGGAAAGGCTGCTCCGAGCATTGGGATTTGCGCCACGGAAGTGTTTTCTCCTGGTCCTACGCAGAAAGCCTTCGCCCTGCGGCTAATCCGTCTCTCCCGTTCTGCTTTTCCAGCCAAGAAAGGACCCGACGGCTTAGCTTTGCCCAACAACTACTGCGATTTTTGCCTGGGAGACTCCAAAATCAACAAGAAGACGGGGCAACCGGAGGAGTTGGTCTCGTGCTCGGACTGCGGGCGATCAGGTAAGGGGTCGGAAAACGTCCTCCCCACCGCGGGCCTCGCCAAACCGTCCCCGTTTTCTTCGCTTGCCCGGAGAAGCCGAGGATTTGGGTGGGAGCTGGGGAGAGGGTGGTTTTCTCGCCGCCGTGCGGCTCTTCCCCCCCTGCCCTGCCTTCACGCGCCTCCTGCCCGCTTCGCAGGGCACCCCTCCTGCCTGCAGTTCACCCCGGTGATGATGGCCGCCGTCAAGACGTACCGCTGGCAGTGCATCGAGTGCAAGTGCTGCAACATCTGCGGCACCTCCGAGAACGACGTGAGTACCCCCCGGAACGACGGGAGTACCCCCCTGAACGACGGGAGTACCCCCCGGAATGATGGGAGTACCCCCAGAATGATGGGAGTACCCCCCAGAATGATGAGAGTACCCCCAGAACGATGAGAGTACCCCCAGAACGACGGGAGTACCCCCCAGAATGACAGAATTACACCCCAGAATGATGGGAGTACCCCCAGAACGACAGGAGTACCCCCCCGAACGATGGGAGTACCCCCAGAACAATGGGAGTACCCCCTAGAATGACGGGAGTACCCCCAGAATGATGGGAGTACCCCCCAGAATGACAGAATTACACCCCAGAACGATGGGAGTGCCCCCCAGAATGACAGAATTACACCCCAGAATGATGGGATTACCCCCCAGAAAGAAGGGAGTACCCCCAGAGTGATGGGAGTGCCCCCCAGAAAGAAGGGAGTACCCCCAGAATGACAGGAGTACCCCCAGAACAACAGAAGTAACCCCCAGAACGACAGAATTACATCCCAGAATGACGGGAGTACCCCAAGAATGACAGAATTACACCCTAGAACGGCCGGAGTACCCCCAGAATGGCAGCAGTACCCCCCAGAATGACAGCAGTACCCCCAGAATGGTGGCAGTAACCCCAGAACAACAGAAGTAACCCCCAGAACGACAGAATTACACCCCAGAACGGCCGGAGTACCCCCAGAATGGCAGCAGTACCCCCCAGAATGACAGCAGTACCCCCAGAATGACAGCAGTACCCCCAGAATGGTGGCAGTACCCCCCAGAATGACAGCAGTACCCCCAGAACGGGGGGAGTACCCCCCAGAATGACAGCAGTACCCCCAGAACGGGGGGAGTACCCCTCAGAATGACAGGAGTACCCCCAGAATGGGGGGAGTACCCCCCGAAGGAGCGGGGCACCCCCCGGGCCGCCCTGGGCTGCGGCGCAGGGATGGTGAAAAGCCCATGGGGGTGCGAGCGGCCTCTCGGCTTTGGGGCCGATGTTTTAATGATCCGTAGGATGCGTCCGGGGCTTTTTGGGGGGAAATCTTTGCGCTTTTGATATTCCAGAGCACAGAGCGATCTTTGGGGGGGAAATCGTTGCGCTTTAGTAGTCCGTAGGACACAGGGGAGTCTTTTGGGGGGGAAATTATTGTGCTTTTGATGGTCCGTAGGACAGATCGGGGTCTTTTTTGGAGGAAGTCTGCTTTAATAGCCCGCAGGACACGGGAGAGTAGTTTGAGGGAAATCTTTGTGCTTTTAATTGTCCACAGAACACAGGAGAGTCTTTTTTGGGGGAAATCTTTGTGCTTTAGTAGTCCGTGGGACACGAGAGAGTCTTTCTGGGGGGAAATCTTTGTGCTTTTATAGTCCGTAGGACGCGACAGAGTCTTTTCTGTGGGAAATCGTTGAGCTTTTAAAGGTTCGTAGTAGCGAGCAGTCTTTTGCGGGGAAATCTTTGTGCTTTAATAGTCTGTAGGACACAGGAGAGTCTTTTTTTGGAAGAAATCTTTGGGATTTAGTAGTCTGTAGGATGCAGGAGAGTTGTCTTTGGAAGAAATCTGTGGGCTTTAATAGTCTAGGACGCCGGAGAGTCTTCTTTGGAAGAAATCTTTGGGCTTTCATAGCCTGTAGGACGCCCGAGAGTCGTCTTTGGAAGAAGTCTTTGGGATTTCATAGTCTAGGATGCAGGAGAGTCTTCTTTGGAAGAAATCTTTGGGCTTTCATAGCCTGTAGGACGCCCGAGAGTCGTCTTTGGAAGAAATCTTTGGGATTTCACAGCCTGTAGGATGCCCGAGAGTCTTCTTTGGAAGAAATCTTTAGGCTTTCAGAGTCTGTAGGACACGGCAAAATCTTTTTTTAGGGGAAAAGATTATGCTTTTGGTAGCCCGGAGGACATGGCGATGTCTTTCTGGTGGCTCCGACAGAGCTTGGAGGACGACAGAGAGGGACCCTCGTCCCCTCCGTGTTGTCCTTGAGCCAAGGCCGAGTTGAATCATCCGAATTTCTCCCCTTTTCCCCCCGCCTCGGCTTAGGACCAGCTGCTCTTCTGCGACGACTGCGACCGCGGCTACCACATGTACTGTCTCACCCCGCCCATGTCGGAGCCGCCCGAAGGTGAGTGCCGCTCCTGTCCTCCCTCTCCGCTTCGGAAATGGGTCAGAACAAGCAGAATTCAGCCCAGAATGTTTCTCAGCCGTGCGGACCTGCTTCTGCCCGTGGTTTTTCGGGGCGATCGTGGATCTGTCGTGCCACGATCAAAAATGACGGGGTTCGTCATTCCGGTTGTTCCCCAATTATTCCTCCTCTGCTCCGCTGGAGAAGCGGAGAAGCCTTTTACCACCCCAAAATCCGTCAGCGACATCCCTCGTGCCCCAAAATGTCTCCATATGGGCCGATAAAGCCGAGCGGGATCCCTCTTCTTCCTCCTCTTCCTCCCCCCCCCTTCGACTCCTGGCGTCGAAGCGAAAAAACCCCCAGCCTTCACAACACAAAACCAACGCCGAAATCTCGCTGATGCCTGCTTAATTATCCCAGCGGTTAATTATCAACCCCTCTCCTGGCCGCCTTCGCTTGAAGGTTAACGAGGAAGAGGAAGGCTTGTGGGGTCACAGAGCCACAAACAGCCCCGTAAAGCACCCCCCGCCTTGTTCTCTACATGTAATTAGGAAGCTGTGACCCTTAACGAAGCCCTAACGAGGGCGAAACCAGGCCACCCACGTGTCCTTCTCTCCGCAGGGAGCTGGAGCTGCCAATTGTGTCTGGACCTGCTGAAGGAAAAAGCCTCCATCTACCAGAACCAGAACAACTCCTGATCCCGCTCCGCCGACGGGACGGGCTCCCCGGTGCCCTCTTCCCACGCGTTTTCCCTTTTTTTTGGGGGGTCTTTTTTCTTTCCTTATTTTTTTTTAAACCTTCCCTCTGTTTTTTTTTTGTTGATTTAGGGGTTGGTTTGGGGTTTTTTTTTGGTTTTTTTATCGCTCGGGGAGGGGGTGGCGGGGTTTATTTTATTCGTTTTTTGCCGTGCGAGGGCTAATTTCTCACCTCCCCGCAGCGAGATGGGGCGCGTCCCCCTGCGAGGACGGGGTGATGCTGCCGTGTCCCCCGCCCCGCAGCGTGGCATTTGGGGGGACGCCCCAGGGACCCCGGC